AAAGGTCATAAATTTGTAGAAAAACAGAATTCTGAGGTAGCAGTATACAGTAGAGGGTTGTGGCCATGGGTGAGCATGATGAAGTGGGCTATGTGAGCTTCACATTTGTTAAAAAAAAAAAAGTTTTTGGTTCGAGATCAAAATTTTGGCCATAATCCGAAAGGACCGAAACCACATGAAAAGCTAGCTTTACAGGAGGTAAAATTTTGACAACAGCAAACGACGCAAAAATGCAAAAAATCAAGTTTGACAACTTTACTGGGACCCAGATAATTCTGCAACCAAGTAGGTAATCTTTAATTTCAGACAGAACTTAGGAAAAAAAATACTAGTTGCAGAGGTCAAATTTTGGGTCAAAAATAGCAATTTTTGGCACTTTTTGGTTATTTTTGATGTGGTAACCATGGTTTTCACACAAGTGACATACATAGAAAATAGAGGTTTATACACTTCTCAGTACTTTATATGTTTTGTAAATGTAATGCAGTTTACAAATATATATATACATGTATACATGTGTTGTGTAGGGTAAATCCACTGTGTTTATATTTCCTCGACATGTGCCTTGTTTATCAGAGTCGGGCCATTTCTACTGTATACTGCTACCTGATGGAAAAGTTTTCCCCAAAAGTTTTCTAACATTTAGTGATATTCTAAACTTCATCAAAAAACAAAATGGCCGCAATGACGTCATATCCGATTTTTACCTAAATTGCAATATCTAATTAACTGGTGAATGTATTGAATTCATCTTTGGATATGTTGTGTAGAACAACAAATAAATATTTTTTCTCATGAAACATTTTGTGGTAAATATTAACTTCCGGTTTTCGGTAGGGGTCAAAGTTTGAATGTGTAATTCTGTGAAACAAACTTCAAAAAACTTCTTCTCAATAACCAAGTGACCCAGGGTCATAATATTTATTGAATATTAATGCTCAAGCAATGGGCTATCAAGTTTGATAATTTGAATGACCTTGACCCATGTTCAAGGTCACTGGGAGAAATGATGTTAAAATCTACAAAACACTCCTTCTCAATAACGAAAATGCCCAGGGTATTGATTTTTGGTCTGTAGGGATGATTGGCTACAAGGTTTAGAGACATAAATTTCCATCAAAAATCAACCACCAGTATTTGATAGAGATCAAATTTGAACATGTAATTTTGTGGGAAAAAAAACAAAGATACCATAACTATTTGCGAGTTACTTCCCTTCCACCAGTAGTAAAATCGTTCACCTACAAAAATATAACCGAAAGCAAAACTTTTTGTTCTGCTATTTTTGAGTACTGCTAAAATGTCTTAACTTGATTTATCTTTTAATCAAGTTTCAACATTTTAAAATATAAAAGTCTTTACTTCAATGGTGTGATATAGGTGAAAAGCCTGTCAAATTGTTAGTCAACAATTACTAGTTCTTAATATTATTATTCTGCCATTTATTTTAATCTCCTAAATGGTAGCAGATATGATCACAGTCTACATTGTACAATATAGGACATGGTATGAAGGTGTTATTGCAACATTATCAAGTGGGTCAAAAATCCAATATGGCCGCCATGACATCATACCTCAAAATCTTAAATTGGCTATAATGAAAACACGGTTGAATATACAGCCTTTATGCATTGAGATTATATGTAGATAATCTTCAGGGCTAACTTTTTTTTTATTTGTTATTCTACACCACATATCCAAAGAGGAATTCAATACATTCACCAGTTAATGAGATATTGCAAAACATTTACCGTTGACATTGTACGTCATTTTTGAAATTTTTCTTCTAATCTTTTAAAAATGCCAACAATATGTAAGACTTGTTTTACTCCAATATCAATGACAAATATTTTGTTTAGTTGTAATGGAAAAGATTTCCCCAGGCAAAAATGATTTGCATAACTATTTAGCAGAATATTTTATCAATCTTCAAAATCAGTGTATGAATATAACATGGCAATGAAATTAAAATTTCATTCAATTTCATCACAATAGGCTTAAGTAAAATGCAATTAAAGACATAGACAAAATGCATGGAATATATACAATTGTGGCAGGTTTTAATTGTACATAGGATCAAAGTCGCTTTCTAGCTTCGTGCTAGAGAAAATTTCCTTTTAGCTGAGTGAGACTGGTAGAGCATCCAACTAGGAACCTGGAAATCAGGGTTCGATCCCCAGTGGAAGCACACTATTCACTTTCCTGTCGAAAATGTTGTCTGTGGCCCTCCCTTAATGGTGACAGGGAGTTAGAACCTGGGTTGTGGTGAACACATTTAAACAAGAGGCCCAAGGGCCTTAGCGGTCACCTGAGTTATATCATAGGTACTGGTAGCTTTATTTTATTGTTTAGATGTGATGTGGAAATCAGCATGTAAACTAAGTGAAATNTTGGGGCCCCGCCCTGGCCCCAGGGGTCGGGGTAGGAATCTCAATTTTACAATTTGAAACCATCTACCTCCAAGGATAATTCTCACCAAGTAAAAATAATTTCCTACAGAAAGTTGTCAAAATATACCCAAAAGTGTTATTTCCCTATATAAACTATAGTAAACTTTACCCCCTCCCCAAGGGAGAACGGATAGCTCGGGGGTCCTGAAATTTACAATTTAAGTAAAGCCCCTGATGATATCTTTCTTTCCACGTAAAGAAAATCACTGTAGTAACTGAGTCTGTGGGAGAAGATTTTTGAAATATTGATTAATTTTCCCTTTGGGGCCCCGCCCTGGCCCCAGGGGTAGGGGTAGGAATCTCAATTTTACAATTTGAAACCATCTACCTCCAAGGATAATTCTCACCAAGTAAAAATAATTTCCTACCAAAAGTTGTCAAAATATACCCAAAAGTGTTATTTCCCTATATAAACTATAGTAAACTTTACCCCCTCCCCAAGGGAGAACGAATAGCTCAGGGGTCCTGAAATTTACAATTTAAGTAAAGCCCCTGATGATCTTTCTTTCCACATAGAGAAAATGAGTGTATTACCTCTGAGTCTGCAGGAGAAGATTTTTGAAATATTGATTAATTTTCCCTTTGGGGCCCCGCCCTGGCCCCAGGGGTCGGGGTAGGAATCCCACTTTTACAATTTTGAAGCCTCATCTACCAAGGATGATTCTGACCAAGTTTGAAAAAAATCCATCCACTGGTTCTTGAGGAGAAGTTGAAAATGTAAAAGTTTACGCACGACGCACGACGGACGACGGACGAAAAGCGATTAGAATAGGTCACTTGAGCAAAGCTCAGGTGACCTAAAAAGGGGAGTTGTGTGACAGATTTTAAGTGGTCTCCTAGTAGAAAACCGCTCCTTTTACACAATGTATACTGATAAAAAAGCCGTCGCAACTACAATCCAAGTAAATACTGTATTTTTGGCCCAAAATTGTGCTTTGTCAGTTTATAAACACTTACGTAATGCCAACTGGAGTTTATTTGGTTAAAATGGCAGCCATTTGTTGACTTTATGATGTCTGCACGTAAACTTACGTGTGGTAATACGGCAGGTTTTTTGTTGGCATCAGTTATGTGAAGTTTTGGCTGTAATTTACGGTACTCAAGTCTCATAACTTATTTACATGCACTTGTAACTTACCTGCGTCGTGAAAATAACCAAATAACTTAAATACAATTTATGATTACCGTAAATTTCCGTACATGTCGTGAACAGCACCCTGTAGATGGAGGGCTGGCGTTATATTTATATTAAGCTTTTGAATACATCATACAACACTGTAAACTTAACAACTACGCTGATGACAACACAATTAGTAAAGCACACACTTCACTACAAACAGACTGCGATTCACTCATTCACTGGTTTATGCAAACAATCATATGCTAGCAAACCCAGACAAATTTCAAGCCATGGCCGTAGGAAACAAAGCACACAATGAAAACATAACTTTCAAACTAGGCAACAATACAATAAAATGTGAACCAGAAGTAAAATTACTAGGGGTCACCATAGATTTCCAGTTAAACTTCCATACACACGTATCCAACATCTGCAAAAAAGCATCTAGACAGCTCAACTCACTCAAACGCATTGGAAAACACCGTAACAGATTAGGCAAACTTACAATATACCATTCATTTATTCTTTCGAATTTTAATTTCTGTCCACTTAACATGGCACTTTTGCGGTGAGACAAACACACAAAAAATGGGGAAAATCCAAGAAACGGCTCTAAAATTTATTTACGATGAACACGAAAATACATATAAAAATTTATTAGCCTGTTCAAAATTACCATCATCAAAATCAGACGACTCAGAAATTTTGCAATAGAAGTTTTTAAAATCACAAATAAACAAACACCAACATACAAATGTACATGTACCTACATGACCTATAATCAACATCACAGAAAAATCATACACATTCAGATATCACAATACAGCAGATATACCACATGTTAGGACTACAATTTACAAAGTATGGTAAACACTCATTTCGATCTGAAGCACCTAAACTTTGGAAATGCCCTACCTGAGACCACTTCAGAACAACAACTACACTAACACAATTTAAGACACTAATAAACAGCTGGTATGGGCCAAAATGCAAATGCAACACATGCAGACAAAACACATAGGCTCACAATACAGTTTTAAACAAAATGTTATTAGCTAAAGCTTACCTCTACTTTATAATGTCACCTCTCTATTAGATAGTGCTCATCTTTTAATATGTTTGCTAAATATTTATTGTGTAACCTATGCATGTCTTTCATTTGTCGGTTTTAATAGCTCATTAACGTTAGAGCTAATGTTGTATTGTTTTTAAACATACCGACGTTAAATAAAACTTTTGATTTAATTTGATTTGAAGTAAGTATACACCGTTAAATAGTTAAAGTGAACAGTCTACAGAGTAAATAGGTAGATATGTCGCGCCAAGTACTGTACATGTATTTAATAATTTATTAAGAAAGGGTTATTAAACATGAATGGAAGGATGACAGCTTCTGGCAACAACTACAACAGTAAACTAAAAGTGCTCACCCCTCTTTCCGTCTTGACAAGTCGTAAGCAAACAGATATGACCGTGACAAATACGAAAATGGTCTGCTGGTTGTAAAACATGGAATTTCCACCATCTATTTTCCGTTTGCCTCGTTCTGGAATACGGGGACTCCCCTTCTATGATATATAGCCAGTTTCTACCCCACAATATTTAGGCCCATAGAGTGATCCTAAAAGCGTCTTCAACCGACAATAGCCGTCTTCAAGTGACAACAAGCGTCGCAAGATAAAATATTTAAAAATACTGAATGAAGTAAGCTACATCAGAAGATATGTTGTTAATTTGACTATAATACACCTCTAAGTATACCAAAATTGAATTAGATATTTGAAAATATATATTTGAATATTATGATAATTAAATATTCCCGCGGTTCGGAGTATAGAGGGAATTATTTGTCTTCTCTGGCACGAGCGGCACGTGCGGACAGT